CCAACCCGGGTGGATTGACAGTCAAACCTCTAGATCTACACATATGTATCAACTAGAGATACAACATCCCCTCTCAAATGAGCATGTGTGAATTAAAATAATGTTTACTCATAAGGATGAAAGGATCGTTGCCTTTATTTTTTTTTTCTTCCTCTTTTCCTTCCTTCCTTCCTTCCTCCCTCCTTGCTTCTCTCACACGGTACCTCTTAGCCTGGTGTTTTGCCGTTGGAAGAGCATTGTGTCAAATAGACCACAACACTCGAGCACTGAACGGACACCTGCTTTGTCAACGGCTTTTTGTTTGTTCTTTGTTTTGTTTTTGTTTGTTTGGTGTTGTTTTTGTTTTGTTTTTGTTTTTGCTTTTTGTTTTTCGGGGTGGGGGTGGGGGAGGGGTTGTTCGTTTGTTTGTTTATTTGTTGGTTTGTTTGTGTGTTTTTTGGGGGGTGGGGGTTGTTGTTTTTTAGGGGGGGGGGATACACTAAATATAGAAGAATGCATGTTTACCTTTGACAGACACACAACCACACTTTAATGATATAGCCCTCGCGACTTGATTTCTTCTTCCTTTTCTTTCAGGGACATCGGCCACCGACACTGTGGAAGGGGTGGGCGATCAGGGAAGCGATGGGCATGGTTATAGTGAGTCCCGTGGGCCGGACGGTGGAAACCACGCCTCCAGTAGATGCCAAGCTAGCCCGGTGGTGATATTTTTCCTGTGTGCTATGACATTCTTAGCTCGACTGAGCGGTGTAAGAACGTTAAGGTAGTGAGTACAAGATTAACCTGGAAGAAAACCGAGATCCCAACTTCTCTGCAGCCAATTATTTTTGTCTAGATATCTAGTATGGCGTTGACCTCACACCGGACGTCCAGATAGCAGCCATGACCTGACGTGCGTGTGCTAGGTCAATGATGGCCTTACATTGCTGTGGCCTCCTCTAGTGCAAGACGTCCCGGCACCATAACACACAAAGAAGAGTGTTCTTTTGTCTTGGTAAAAAGGTGTAGACTACACACTCAAGCGAGAGATGGAGTGTACACTGTATTTGACTCTTGGCCGACAAATATTTTTACTGCCCACACAAGGTAAAAGTAAAGATGATGGATACGATGGTGTACCATGCGCTACAGAGTAAACCAAATTTGGTGAAGGAGCGATTTGCCAGTTTGGCGCTGTCACTTCGGTCACGGTGTAGATACTGTGAAGTGAAGCAATGTTCTAAGGGAAGTAATCAGTACAAATAGTTATCTTTAGAAGAAGTCTCTCTCGTTTGTCTCCCTCGTTGACTGTGTCAAAAGGATTCTGGTACTTCGATCGAGTTTACTCATACTCATTGTTTAATTGACTTATACCAAGTTAAGTACATGTTCTCTTGCATTCTCGGGCTTCTGAAAAGGCTTCAATGAGAACGCCTTAAACATTGGAGGCTCAGAGTTCAAGGATGCACAGGTCATCACGCCGGCCTTTCCATAACGTTCCTCCATTACAACCACAGCGGTGTCCCAAGTTTACGTGGAAAGTAAACTCGGATCCTCACTTTACACTGCAGCCTGCCATTGTGTTTTAGCACAGCAAAGGACTCACGGGAAGCACATGTAGCAGCCATGACCCGAGGTTAAGCTCAACCTCTCTGTTGACCAATAGCATAACCGCAGCAGTGTCCTAAGCTTAGCAGGTAAGACGACGGGTGATACTGGTATAGACAGCACAAGACGAGACCACAGAAACTGCTGAGCTACCTCTGTGACTCTTGTGCCCACAGCGATAGTCTGAGGGGGAGGGGGGGCTGTGTGTCATTGCTAGCCGAAGGCAAATTTATTGTTTTATATTTACATGTGTACATGACGAATTTTTGTTTGCATTTCGTTTTTCATTAACTGCCTCATAGAATTGTATTTTGAATTCTGACCATAAAAAACTATGATTAGAATATCAATGTGTCCGTGTACATTTTACTATACATTTATTTATTCATTTTTGTGTGCATACTTATATAATTATATTGTATGACATTGTGACATCGATGCTTCATGTAGTCCTTAATATTATACACGTATTATTCTTTAATATGGAACAATTGCTACTTTTTCTTAGTACATGTACTGTCATCCCCTGTCTAGTGTGGCCTACCTACTATCGGTTTCTTCTGTGTTATGCTTTACTTTTTCAGCGTTACCTCTGGGGGTCAGTCGCGTTAACTTTTCTTTACAAAGTTCTGTCTGACATTTTTGGCCGTTTTGAGTTACAATGTACTAAGACCATAAGGTCAAAAACCGAATGTTCTATCTGTTCTATCAAAATCGTAAGATTATTTGGAGTCTTTACATGATATTCAAAAATGTGCATTTAAAAAAGCGTAACACGTTGTGATGCTAATTTTTTATTTACATCAAATTATGTCTAAAAACTAGATACTGGGCAGATAGAGCTTTGTAATTCTAAGATAACGTTATGTAAGGGTGGGAGTTCAGTTGCTTTTTGTGGGGGGGGTTTTACTCTTCTTCTTAGTGGCCAACGGCGGCGGGGGTGAGGGAGAGGATTTACTTCTTTTTTTCTCTCTTTTTTTTTTCTTTTTTTTTGGAGGGGGGGGTATCATTTCTTGTGTTTGCTTGTCGTTGTTTAAAATTGGAGTTTTCTTCTGAGCCACGTTCTTTGTCTTTGAGATGGTGATTTATAGTCTGTGGTGCGTTAAGCGTTAAGCGAACTAAAATAAAAAGACAAACAAATAGGGGGAGGGAGAGCTGCTTAGAGTCTAGCGTCTTTGGGGGTGGGTTGTTTGTTGTTGGTTTTTTGGAAGGGGCGCGGTTTAAAGTAGGAATGTAGGAATGGCTTTTTGCTGGCATTTCTTGTCATCTTTCCTTTTCCGCAGTTTAAGTAAGCATATATGAGATGAGGTTCATGATTCTCAAACCATGCGTGTATGACGTAAAGAAGTGTGATTGCTTTCCGAAACCATGCTGTGAAATAGGCTAGCCTGCATTTCATAGGCATGATACATGCACACGTATGTTAACTACATATACATTATTATATTACTTGACTGATCAGACGGCGAGTTTGATTGGATCTTCGTCGCCTATCGTGAACATATATATGTGCATTATTGTTTGCACAATACAATTCAAATAATATAATATCATACAAAACAATTTTTTTAACGAGGTATGAGAACTGTCCCTTTGATCTGAGTCGTTGTTATTCCAGTTGTTGTTACCGGATCCCACAGAAAATTCATTCTCTTCCTCTTAAGTTTGATGTATTTTGAGTTATAAATAAGATCATAGCCTATAGTGACGATAACTTTGCAAAACGTAAGTAGCCGCGTTCAATTCACGCTTTTGGCCGCACTCCGGAAACACAGCCACGGTGAGGACACTGAAACGGCCGCGGACTATATTATTATTATTATTATTATTATTATTATTATTATTATTATTATTATTATTATTATTGATCTCGCTTGGTTTGTTCAAGATAATGGGGGAGAAGGCTTTTGGTTTTGTTGATTTGTTTTTGTCTTTTTATCTTTCGCCTTTTCAGGGAGTACGGAATGCATATTATATAGACATTTTTTCTTCCTTATTGTTCAAAATGTGTGAGTGAGATTCGGGTGAAAAGGGAAGGGGTGGGGGGTATCGATTTTTTTTAAATCGTCCTTATTTGTTACTCTGATTCTGATTGATTGGAAAGAATGATATTTCTATCGTGGTTATGACCAAGGCTTTCTTCGCTGTCGAATGAGACCGCTGTAATCATGTCCAACAGGGTATCGCTAACAGGTAAGCTTACCCATTGAAACCGTACGTATGGGGTTCCGGTAACAATAGCTCTTATTAAATGTGCTTCGCCCGTCAGTTACTAGATCTAGAAGTGATGAAGCTTGAGCGAGTTGTTCTTTTTTTCTGCCTTTCTCTTTCTTTTTTTTTTGGGGGGGGAGTGTATTTTGGGGTTTTTTTGCTTTTTTTTTCTTAATTTTTATTTCGGAAAAAAACACCATAATCATGCACATACAAGTCAATGTGACGAAGCGTATACCGCTATCTACGGCCAATTGGAACCGTCGACCCGCCTTTCTAGTGTTTGAGCTGCCCCATGTGATAGAGTGAACGTGTTTTTGTTTCTTTTTAGAACTTGCCGACACATGTATCGAGGAAAGAAAAAAGAAAATGGATCCATCCATCCTTATATGGGAGAAATCGACTTCCAGTTTTCTCCCTGTTTTCTTCCCACCCCCCACCCCCACCCCCAGATAGAGAGAGCAAGAGAGAGAGGGGGGAGGGAGAGAGATAGAAACAGAAAGGGGGAGGGGGTGAGGGAGAAATAAAGAGAAAGAGACAGAAAGACACCCCCACCCGAATAACATTGCTTTTATTTCTTTTCTAGAGGTGTGTGTGTAATTAATTTGTTATTCATTTTTAAATGTTTGCATAAAAACGGTTTTTCTTTTTAAATCTTTAAGGATGGGTGCGCCTCATGAGCGGTTAAATAATCATAATTTATTATCGTTAATTGTAACAGGTGAGTACGATGCATGGTATGCTTCCCAGGAAACTGAGATTGTTTTAGAATGATATCAAGTCTGCTGGGGGTAATAGTATCTACTGTAAAACATATAAATCTTGACGGTGAGCGGGAATTTGCGCTATACAATAAATGCTATTTATTATTATTATTTAATAATTATTAGGCCTACTATTATTATTATTATTATTATTATCACCATCGCCATCATTATTATCATTATTATTACTTTATTATTACTATTATTATATTATGTTTGTAATTTGAAATTGATCGTCGGAACATGTGTGATCTGATGTGGAGCACGGTGTGACGTTGAAGGCAGAAAGAGCTATAGTGTTCATGGTATTGCATGTGTGCACCCTTAGGGTTATTGCAACAACTGAAAGCAAGATTTGTATTGCCAACCAGGGAAAGCTATGTACTGTAAAACCCATGTCTTAGCTGTCGAATAGTCCCTCATACGACAGCCTATTATTTAAATATAGCATGTTTTGATTTATGTATGTTTTTCAACGTGTATGTGTGTGCACAAATGCTCACGCGTGCGTATGTGCGCGCGCGTATGTGGGTGGGAGTGTACGCGAGTGTGTGTGTGTGTGTGAGTATGTGTGTGTGTGTGTGAGTGTGTGTGTGTATTTCAATGGACATGTATTATACAAATAA